TTAAGAAATCTTAGTCTTTTATCTATAAGCAATAATAGTCTTAAAACATTGCTAAGACAAGTACACAAGTGAGAAGTGCTTCAAGGTATGGCAAGTATATATTATAAAAGGATACCACCATGGCGTATACGCAATTTCCACGCTCCTAATCGCACAGTGTTAAGACATCTTATTTAGCCAATTAGCTCCACGAGCTGGGCTAACAAATTTGCAAAGCTCATCAGAAAGGGAGAAAGTCTTGGCAGGAAGTCTTAGCCAGGTGCTTACAAACGCTTTGCAATTATTACGGCGCTGCAAAGTACGCAACAATTTATGCACTTTCAGCTTGGCTGAGGCTAAGGAAAATCCCCACCCCCTTTCGCCTTGCCCATTTTCCATGCTTTCCCGCTTTCCCGCTCTGCCGCATTTGTTGCTCCGCCAGTTTGGGCTGTTTGTTTTGCACTTTTGAGCTGTGCCAAAGATTTGCATTTTCAATTTGTACTTCTTTTCCCTCGGCTGCCCCTCGAGCTTTGATTGCGAGTGGCAGATAGAGATGAAGACGGATGGAGAGAGATTACTCAGGCGAGGGAGACACGGCCCAGGATGCTTATATGCAAGGGTTCACAGCGTCCTTCGGCTGAGCCTTGACAAAGCGGCCACTTAACATTCAAATGTGGAAACAACATCAAATGCCGTGTTCAAAAATTCAACATTGTTATAGAAATCCGTAAGCTTACAGCGCATTTCCATGGCATTGCTCGTTTCTCTCTCTCTCTGTTCGATAGCCCTTTTTTATTTCAGTTTTCCCTGGTTTTTCTTTTTGTTATTTTCCGGCCTAATGGCATATGTAAGTGGCGTCTAAGCTGGGGCATTTTGTTTACTTGTAGCTCTCCCTTTGGGGGAAAATCAGTGGTGTGGGGTGGGGGAAAATCTCAAGTGTCTACCATTTCCCTTTGGTTTTCCCCGAACCTTTGCCAATACAAATTGACATGTTATGCCAGCAATGAATTGGGTAATTTTGAATGCGTTTTGCAGCACAAATTCGAATGCTTTGCAAGTGGAAAAGTTTCTCACATTTTTCCCCATGTAAGCAAAATTTGTATTGTGTCTGCTGTTGTGTTTTTCATACACAGCCAGAGAATTAGAGAAGGGAAACGAATTTTCTAAAAATGGAAAACATAATTGTATATTAAATTAAAGCTCTATGCAGGCCACTGAAATATTTATTAAACAGAAATGGTGTAATAGAAACATAATAAATACAAAATTGAAGGGTATTATTAATACACTTTACTAAAAGGAAATTATTGGAAGGAATTGATGTTGCATTTAAATTAAATAATAAGCAGAGGCTGCTTAATATCTGTTTAAAATGGATCTAAAATAATGAATTTTATTAAGAAGGGTTTCTAGTTGTTATGAATTTATTTTAAATATTTAAAGTCCTCTATTTTTCCAGTGCTTTTCCATTCGTTCTTGTGTGGGTTGCCACTTTGCTGCACTAAATTGCATTTAATTCTGAGATTTGCCCGTTGTGGTGGTTGCCTTTGGGTTTTCCCTCTTCTCTTCTCTATTTTTTTTTTCTGCTCGTGGCCTTCACCCAAATAAACCAGCGAATATGCAATGTGTGCCTGGGTGTGTGTTGGGTGTGTGTTGGGTGTGTGTTGTGGCTATGTGTGTTTGCCTAAAATTTATGTGTGAACACAATGCTCACCGACACACACACACACATGCGGCCCTGCTAGTTGCAACAAAGCGCGAAAAAAGAAAATATAAACACACAAATTTTTGCATATTTCCGAGCGGCTTTAAAAATGCGCGAACTCGAAAGAATTAAAAAACTTGCAACGGCACACACTCGCACGTAGGAACAACATAATAAAACGTTTGCATAATTATACCCTAGGGGCCGATGGGGGATATGCTGATCCTGTGACACATTGAGCCAAAGCCAGGGTAAATATTTGGGAATATTTAAGGATTATTTATGCAGGAAACTTTCATAAAAAGCCGCACAAATTTTGTGACTATTTTAATTATTATTATTTTTAAGAAAACTTTAAATTTGCAGACAAATTCAAATTTAAGTAAACTTGGCCTTAGGTTATTGAACTTTATTATCACATTTGCAAGCCCAAAGACCATGCAAAATTCGTTGTTTTTCACCAGGACATTAATTTTTTATGATTTGACGAAATGCAAATGAATGGTTTGAGCCGCTTTTCCTATCCTTTGGAATTTGGCCCCGAAAAAAGAATGTATTTTACGCTGGCCTTCGATGGAAATGAAAATAGAAAAGCTCGAAAAAAATACGTTTTTGTTTTGCGATTTTTGTGTTAGATCAAAAGTGTAACAACTTAATTAACTTAAATTGGGTTGGCAGGAAAACGAGGAGCGGGACGGAACACACTGCGCCGGATTCCTTTTTATGTTTACGACTTCGAGTCCGGGGCCAAAACCAACCGCGGACTTTTCGTTGACACATTTTCCTTGGCATGCAAGACACGGACAAGTTTTCCTTGCTGGCGCTTAAAAAGTTTCCACCCCAACCCTGCAAATAGGAAAAGTCTTTGGGAGAGGATTTTCCCGGCTAAGCTGTTGAGTTGCTAGACGGCGGCGGTGGCGGCGGGGGATTGAAAAGCGAAATAGAGAGAGAGAGCGAGAGCAAGAGTACTTTGACGAGATTTGCATAAAATTAGGGATTATTGTTAGCAGGATTCGGGGAATTACGTGGAAATATTGAACTTTATGTGCATATTGATGGCCGGCAATCCTTTGACACGGCTCTGCAAATCCCACAGCTCTCGTTCCTTCACCAAATCCAGAAATCCCTCATCTTCCCGCCTTGGCCCGCCCAATTTCATTAGCAAATATTTGTGGTCCAAGTAGCTCGCTTTGAGTTATGGCCAAAGCCCGACTGCGGCTTTGGCCTGGCCAATAAATCAACTCAAACACACGCACAAGGACTGGGACACGGACACGGACACGAACAATTGTGGCCATTCAATTTGATTATTCAATTGCAAAATTCTGACAGCAGCCGAGGAAATGCACACAGATGCATTGTCCAGATACCGGAGGATGCCATTTACCATGCACCATAACACTACCATCGCTTAGGACAAAGGACCTTCCACCGATAATGACATTTTAAATGCAAAACACTTGTCCGGAACACTTGAATCATTCCCAGGATGTGATTGAATACTGAAAATGGTACAGAAATGCTTATTGAATAGATTCAAACTGGGATTATCCCTCAGGTTTACTACTTGAAATTGGAAATGGGAATTTACCTACTTTAGTAGATAGATAAATTTAATTACAATAAAGTAGTTTTCATTTTTAAGCACTAAATAAAGTGCGGATACCGTGATAAAATATTTTAAAACATACTCCTGTATTAAAAATGATTTAAATCCTATTCTTAGGTATGGATATATTACTACATAATTGAATGCATAATTGAGTGCTTGTCCAGATAAGTCTCCTTCTGCTCCCGATCCCTTTTTGACTACTGGCGGAATAAAAAGAAATAAGAATTTATGGAGCCGCCCAGGAAAAGAAAGTTGTCTCTCTATTAAAAATAAATTATAGACAGGGGGCCGGGGCGAAAAAGAAAAAAACACAAAAATTGTATTTGCCTTGGCCACGTCCGGGGCCATAAATTTTCGCAAAACAAACTGACTTTGTGGCTGGTGGCTGCGGTGGCTAAAATTGTTTGGTATCAGAAGGAAGGCAACAGGTGCACGCGTGCTGCTGGCCACATCTAGGAGTTCCCCCTCCCCCCGGCTGAAGGACTTCCGGCCAGAGGCTGGCCCCTTGTCTGCTGTTTAATGCATGCCCTTTTCACATGGATTCGGGGGAACTGGGAACCAAGCTGGCCTGGGCTTGCCCCAAAAGCGATAAATCACAAAAAATGTTGTGCTCTTTTGCATTAAAATTTACAACCTACTAAACAAGACAGACGTCCAGAGTTGCCCGCTTGACATGTGCACGCGCGCCTTAAATTCGAGTTCAAGATCGAGATCGAGATCGAATTCGAATCCCCGGAATGAATAATTGCGCATAATTCAGGCGTTCATCTTTCGGCCAAGGCCGGAAAGCGGCTTTAAGTCCGCTACTCTGGCGAGTGAGCCCAATTAAGTTCGAGCCAATTACACGCAAATCAGCCATGTTTTGGGGGAGCCTCAGTTGTCAGACAATTAGCGACTAAGGCGACTAAGGCGACTCAGCTGGCAAGCGACTTTGGTCGTAATCAATTGGGCGATATTGAGTTATTAGGCTTCATACCCCTGGATTTCCAAGGGGGGCGGGTGAGAGCGAGTTGTTGGAAAAGTCCCTGTGAGTTTGGTTACCCTCAAATAGCATTTAATGTGCCCTAATGCGAATGGCATTGACATCCGATTCACTGGGAAAAATATAACTAAACTACATTTAAGTGTAAATGATATAAATGATAAAAGTAAGAGAACATTATGTTGAAATTTGCAAATAGGAAAGACCCTTAAAAGTAAACAAATATTGAATTAGTAAGATTATTTATATAGAAATAATTATATATTATTTTCCCTCTTATTCTACTTTCCCATATGTTTTATTTCAGTGTAAAAGCCAGCGAAAGTAAAACTCTCTGGGCTGAAGGCACTCAACTGTTAAACGCGAAAACGATGATGACAGCCATTTTTGGTAACAGAATGTTTGGCTACAACTTTTCGCGGCCAATTTCGTGGCCCACTGACTGACAATGGGAAGTGGCAAAGCCTGTTCCTGTCGCTTTCTCTGGCTTTCCCTGCTGCTTGCCGTCTCTCTCCTAGATGACTCAAAGGCTTTCTCTTTCCCTAGAACAATGGCAATGAGAAGCTGGTAGCTTAATCGAACATCTGTTTCCTATTTCGACAAGTGTAATGTGGAAAACAAATGTCAGCTGTTCATTATCCACCAATTTCGAGTATAGAATTTCTGATTCTTGGAGTTTATAAGCCCGACATTCTGCTGATTTTGCTACAGACTTGGCACCACCACTCCATCATGAATGTGGTTCTCGTTCTAATACCGCTGCTCCTTGGGATTCTTGAGTCCAACGGGAACCATCCGGATCCAAGTGCCTATTGCCAGCCACAGTTGTGTGAAAAGGGACAGGAGCATGTGGCCTGCAACTATTATTCCAAGGCAAGTATGACTTCCAGGGAACCGGGGATCTGCTCTAACCAAATCCTGGCTTTCAGCTGAAAGAAACGATCCAGCATGCCTGCCATACGACGGAGATGCGTATCGTCTACTTCACCGTTCTCAAGGACAAGGTCCTGGAGCTGCACAATGAGCGACGCTACCGCCTGGCCAATGGCAACGCATCTGACCTGCCGGAGGCTGCCCGCATGGTGACGATGCAGTGGAGCCCCGAACTGGCCACCTTGGCGGAATTCAATGCTCACATGTGTATGCTGGAACACGATGAATGCCGCAATGTGGCCCAGTTCCCGCAAGCCGGCCAGAATGTCTTTGTGGTCAACATGAAGCGTCTGGTGCCCAAGAAGGAGATGATCAAACTCTATCCGGAGCTACTGGCCAATGCCACCGAGGCCTGGTGGTCGGAATCGGAGAACATAACCAGTGCGGAGATCAAAAAGTTTCCCTGCGACCACAAGAAGCCCAAGTGAGTATGAGTATTACTAGTATTTCCAGTCATCTATCTATCTGACTCCCATTAATTTGGTAGAGCATTCCGCTACTTTGCCACCATGGCCGTTGAGAGCAACTCGCATGTGGGATGTGCCGGTGTCCGTTACGTAATGGACAACACAACCCAGTTCAAGTTGACCTGCAACTATGCCAGGGCACCAGTGTGCGGACAACCGATCTACCAAGCCATGCCGGGATGCCAGGCTGGCAAAAACGAGAAGTTCTCGGCCCTCTGTTCACCCAATGAGCTCTTCCTCTGAGCTGCTCTCCAGCTACGGTTTATCCGATCCCTTGGCCCAGGAACATCACTCATGCAACCATCCATTCATCCATCCATTCGTCCCTCAAGTGAAACCCCAAACGACCGGCTGCTGCTTTTGCAAAATTCAAACAACTCCCTTGCAATGGAATTTCTGCCAATTTCCTGTGATGAACCCAGCCCGAGGACATTGGCGGGCCTGGCAGGAAGTGTCGATGGTGGAGCAATTACCTGCATAACAGCAAATAGCTACACTGAGAAATAATCTCATTAAATCTGTGTAAATTCATTCAAGAACATTTAAATATTAAATAAAGGTATGGGATCTTAAAAAAACTATGAGTAATTCAGTTCAATTCAATCCTTAAGATGCCCAAAGTTAGACTGTAAGTTATATTTCCCAGTACATTCTGCGGTTCTTAGGGAAAAAAGATGCTAGTAAAAATGCCACTGGCAGTCATTTCTTGCTGAATATTTATCCAGGACATCCTCTTTAGTAAAAGGAATATAAAAAAAATCTCAACAAAGTGATGCAATACCCTTCATTATCGCAGAGTCGCCCCTCTTGGCCACGTTTATGGGTGTAAACAACTTGATTAGGGGGATGGACTTGGCTCGTTTAATTTAATTTTATTTCTGCATAAACTTTATGGCTTGTTTAGGATTGGTATTTAATGGCCAATCGAGTGGCATTCGGGTCATTAACCGAACCAGTGCAGTGGGGAAGTTGGAAAGTCGTGGAAAACTCCCCCTTCTGCTAAAAGGATGCTGTTGCACAGTATCGTAAAAGCTAACTACCTTTGAGTGCTTGGAGATACACGTGTTTTTCCTTTTATACTGGTATCTATAGATACCAAAGAGGGCTAGTTAATTAAAACTGGCCCCGATTCAATGGACAAATGATGTTCATTATCCGATTAGCACTCTTCACTGCCGCTCCATGGGGATTCCATTATTTTATGCGACTTCATTTGATTGAAATGCATGGGGAATCGACTCCGCGGCAGCTGCCACTGTTGGATTTGACTTGGATTGCATTTAACTGTCCACCAAGTGGTGGCGACTCCCCCACGGGATTTTCCCAACCAACTCTACCTTCCTTCCATTCTCGCATGTCTGACACCTGGCGAGAGAAAAACTAAAAGTCACCACTTCCGCAGCACATAAATTTGAAGCGTTGCTCGCTTTTAAGGTTTCCTGTCCTCCCCGAACCTCTAAAAATAAAAAAAGAGAAGAGACGGCGAAAAAAAATGCAACAAGCTGGGTGTGGATAAAAAAGAAAAGCTTCTCTTTTTCCCCCATTCTAGTTTCGGGCTCGTTTTCCTCTCGCATTGCATGCCAAATTGTTCATGTAGTTTGCAGTTTTTGTTTCGCCACAATTTGTTTTGCTTTGGTTCACCGTTCAGTGTTCGCTTTTCACTATTCAGCTTATACTCTTTACTTTTCAGTTTTTTTTCCCCTTATATATTTTTCTGCGTTTTCCGCCCAAGCACTTGAACTTAAAGGGAATGTTTGCAACAATTTATCAAAGTTATGGCCAAGGATCCGTAGAATCCGGATCTAGAGCAAATGTTTGCGACCCATCATCACTGCACACATAAATATCTATTAAAGCCCTTGAAGTCCCCCGGATGCAAGTGAAGATTTACGGGTTTCCAGCAGCCCCTGATAATGGTGCATTAGCGTGTAAAGCGTTTTCGATGCACTTACACACGGAGACAGTTCCACTTTTCCCGCTTTTCCCCTGATCCCCCGGTTTTCCTCCAAAGTCATTATCATTGTCAGCACGTAAGGCTGCTGCTCGCATGTTCGATGTGTGTTCTCGGTCTGCGAGTGTCGGGGGCTTTCGCGGTTTCCTTTTTGCATTATTCCTTTGACCGCACTCTTTCCTTTTGTCTCTCTGTCTCTGGGCCAGACACACACACACTAGCACAGACCTCACCTGGCCAACTCCCCCCTCCCCTTAGCCCAAAGGTAAGTGCCACTTGAAAGACTTTGCTTTTATGCCTCTGAGCTATGGGCTAAAAGGTGGGATCCCGTTTATTGGGCCAGAGTGTTGGCGTAGACGAGGCTTTTAACATTTTGGCCCACATTTTTAACGAATTGGGCTTAGAGACGACGTGTGTAGGAAATATGGGACAGGCCATTACAAAATTAATTCGTAGGCCTTAAGCATTGGGAAATAAAAATAAGCAAGGCTCGACCTTTGGGTACCGGGTTCTGAGTAAGTAAAAAAATATTGCATACTTTTCAGAGGTTCAGAGGACATAGTCCTTGAGTTTCTTGAGAATTTTAGGAAATAATATATTTAATAATTTAAAAACTTCAAAGAGTAATTTTAATCCAAATTCTTGAGTAGCTCATAAACCGATCCTAGTTCCTGGAACCTATCTCAATCCCAAGTTTGTCTACTAACCATTCCCTACCTTAGTCTTCTTCAAAAAATTTACATTTATAGTTGGACTTTCCAGCAACTTTCACCTGGCACTTCTCGCGGCGCTTTGCAGCTTATCGGCTCATCGGGAATTGCCTTTGAGCAGAGTAAATCGCTCCCTGCACTCATCATTCAGCTGGCGGCTCTCGACTCTCGGTTATTTTTATTTTTATGACTTCAACTTCCTTTGGTAATGGGTCTCGGTTTACGTTTATTAGCATACTTCGCAGGGCGGCTTTGGCCTTGGCTCAAGGTGCGTTTAATGGCGGACATCTAGTTGCCTCGACCGGCGCTTTATGACTTCATTAGGAAGCCATTTACGAGTATGTGCTTCAGATGTTTTTCCGCCCACTTTCTATATATATAAATATATATATCCTCGATCTCGCTGTCTGCCGTTGTTTTTTCCCTTATGGGGAAACCGCACTGAAGGCCAATTGATTTGTTATAGACTTTGGTAACACAGCAAGGTGGCTGGCCGGAGAGGTGAGAAGTGGCAAGTGGCAGAGAGCCCGGGAGCTAAAATCTAATGAAATTTATGCAGGCGCTGCATTGCGGCTAAACATGAATGGGAAGCCGACTCCTCTAGCTCGTGTGGTGGCAACTTTTACCTGGCGTTGCCATTTTACCATAAAGCCAGGCGGACGTGTGAGTGTGTGTACACAGGGAAAAAAAAATCTTTTACAAAAATTCAGAGTCTAAATTGAAGAGAAATTACTAAGCAGTATAAGAGATAAGTACTGACTGGAAATATTAGAAAATATTATGTGATTTAACACCTTTCCTGTATATTTTAATTCCTGAACTAATCACCTTATCAAAACTTATTTATTTTGAGTGTTCAACTGACCTAGTTCCCTGAGTCGGGAGTGGGAAAGTAGCCTTCGTTTTTATGAACACTCTGGGAGCGCCTTTGTCTCGGCTCTTAACTTGGCTAGAAAAAAACACACACACCATCGATGGCCAGCTGGAGCCAGATTGGCGACCCGCTTTTCCACAACCTCCCATTTCTACCTACCACAACATGCCACATGCCATTTGCCACTAACCAAATCTAAGTCCCAGTCCCAGCCGGAGCCCTATCCGAGTTCAGCATGTGGAAGTAACAGTTTAGCGCTTGAACAAGCCCCAAGTTGCATGGAGTTTGCACTTTTCACTTTCGCAGAGCAAAAGTTTTCAGTCTTGGCGGCAGCAAATATAATTTGTGCTCGGTTTCAGAAGAACACAAACAGCTTAAAGTGCTCCACGGGATGAGCAGCGCGATATACAAGGTGTCAGTCTCCGGCCATACAGACAGACAGAACCCAGAAAGAATGGAAGGAAGGAAGGAAGTGGAAGCCTTTTCAAAATGCCAAATGATAAATGCATTTTTAATGGACCACCCGAGACGTGGATGGCGGGTAAGGCAAGCATTTTCCGGCGGCAAGGCTTAGCGGTGAGCGTTTTAGAATTTCCCTGCTGCTCAGCAAGGATGATTAAGCTAATGTTTTGCTCCTTGTAAAGTCGACACATTCGCGTTTCAATTAACCACCGCTGGCAGACGAACAAATTGCCATCCCAGAGCCAGTTCCACTCCCAGTTTTCAGTCCCAAAGTAAATGTTCGACACGTGTGCGTTAATAAATTGCCCAAAATTTAACCTTTTGCCGGGGCGCAGGGCCATTGCCATAGCTTTTATTTTGTGCAATCAGGCCGTAATGCAATGAACCCCATTGCCCCCTGCAATTGTTTTTCACTCACATTCCTAAGCGGTGCTTTCCATTTAATCAATATGCCAAACACAAAGGCAGCAGAATTTAGAAAAAACAAAAAACGAAATGTTGTATCCAAAATTGTGGCTAAACAAAAACTAAATGGTAAGCAGGGGCAGTGGGCGAAGGTCGGGCGCCTAAAAGCATGCCACACAAATTGAAAATAAATGCTAGCGAAACAAAAAACGCCTCGCTGACCATTTTAATTTACTAAGTTTTGATGATGCACAAAAAGGGGAATACATGGGGCGAAAAAAGGGAAGGAAACAAAGCGTTACGTAGTTATTTGATTCATAAAATGTACACACACAAAACCATAGATTTATATATATATCTATGTAACATATATAGATGGAGCCAAAGCCAAAGAGTTGAAAGCGGTGGAAATGAAAAATAGCTTAGCATACGAGGGGGATTTGCCAGAGATAGTTATTGATATTCCTACGGTCGGTCTACTATCCTGGCCAGCACCTGCGAGCAATCAATTCATAATCCTGGGTGAAAACAGGACCTGGGAATGGCTATCCAATGACCAGACCAGGCAAAAATTTATGAGCATCTCCATGGCGGACCAGCTCCACCACAGAGACCGAGAGCAATGTCATTAACTGGCGGGGTGAAAATGAACCAAAGATACGGAACTGCTGATGAGCATCGAGGATAAATGAGCCGTTGATGGCCAGCCATAAGGATGCTGTACGGAATAAGCTGGTGAAATTGCCATAAAATTACTAACGAGTTGATTAGGTTACTAAAACGAGAGTGCTCTGATGGAAATTGAAAAGGAAAACATTGCCAGAATGATGATTGTGGCATAGGTTTTTGGGTTATAAAAAAGAGCTATATTAATTTTGAGGTTTAAATTGAAAAGTGGGGAAAATTTTAAAGATTTAATTTCGATTAACTTCCTGTTTAATGAAATAACAATTTATTATATTCATCTTTACTATTTATGTTACTAAAAACTCAAAAATAAATCCTCAATCCCCACAACTCTTAACCATCTTTAGTTATAAATTTGATTAACCATTAACCTTTATTCCGAAATTCCAAGCGGATAATTTCCCATGCTCGGGGGCGAGGAAAACTTTAGCCAAGAACAGGTGCAAGAATTCCGCTTTGGTTAACTTTTAATCAGTGGCTCAGAGCGGCT